GATTGTGGGTCACTGTATATATGTATATAATGAATTGGGGGATAAATGTAGTGATTGTACCTGATTGTGGGTCACTGTATATATGTATATAATGGATTGTGGGATAAATATAGTGATTATACCTGTTTGTGGGTCACTGTATATATGTATATAATGAATTGTGGGATAAATATAGTGATTATACCTGTTTGTGGGTCACTGTATATATGTATATAATGAATTGTGGGATAAATATAGTGATTATACCTGTTTGTGGGTCACTGTATATATGTATATAATGAATTGTGGGATAAATATAGTGATTATACCTGTTTGTGGGTCACGATACATGTATCTATGTATATATGATCTGTGGGATAAATATAGTGATTATACCTGTTTGTGGGTCATGATATAGATATGTTTATAACAAACTTTTGGATATGAAAGCATATACGTAAGATATTGTCTTTAAAATCTCATAATATAAGGTTGATAAGCTCTTTATTGTTTAAATTAATAATTCACGAATGGAAGGTCATTATGTTATAAATGTAGTGATGATAGCTGTTTGTGGGTCACTATATATATTTATATGTATATAACGAATTGTGGGACAGGCGATTGCATAAAAATATAGTGTAGAATCTCGTAATATTACTCTGCTATCCTATATGTTGACTCAATAAAAATACATTACGGATTGGACATTATGGAATCAATGCAGTGATTAAATCTGTATATTTACTTTTAAAAGTAAGAATTCAATGCTTAAATGTGGTTCACTATAAACATGTATATAAGAAAATCTGGGATAAGTAGGCATATAGATAAAATATGCCGTTCAATATCTAACAATGCTTAATGAATAAATAAATTATAAATAATACATTGTGGGGTGGACATTATTTGATAAATCATCTTTGTCACTATATATATTTGTGTATGTAAGAAATTGTGGGATATATATAGAGAGAGAGGATATCCCTAAAATATCTTGTTAAGAATCTCATAAATCGTATATCGCAGTGAGTCATTATGTAATATGACCCCAAAATACTTGAAAAGTAATATTTAAAATCTTATATTGAATCCAGCAAAACTGTTCTTAATGATTCATTCCATATTGTACATATGTAAATATACATATATATTTATATCAAACATTAATTCTTATGTCTTACATTGTGAAATGCAGCACATAATATATATAGCATATGATAATATTGTGGGTCATGATATTCATATATATAGAGCATTGTGCGATGTATATACTTTATCCCACAATGCTCTATATATATGAATATAATGACCCACAATGATATACAACATTTTTAATCTTATCTCAAAAATTATATTATATATTATATAATGACCATATATAACGCCTAAATCATGAATATGACATAGCTATGCAATGTAGAAATGCGAGATCCCACAAACCTGTTTAGAAGGTCGGTGCCCACAAACAACCTCATATACCTATATACGAGGGGTTATCAAAAAGTTCGTGGACTGATGCGATAAAATTAATACTATGTAGTCTGTGCTTACAAAATTTACGAAGAACATAAATCAACAAATGTTTAAGAAATGTTGAATTTTTTAGCTTGATACGTTGATAATTTGCCAAATTATTCTAAAATAAAAAAGAAATTATATGATCACCCGGCGCTGTCGCCGTTTAGTTTCATGACGTCCGACAACGTCATTGTTTCTCAATGTCCACTCCGTCTACCTTATACACTTATCTTGATGTGATTACCTGGAGTTAAGTAAGGACTTAAGTCCGTCTTGTTTATGTGACTTTACAATGTCATGAACAGCTGCTTTCAATGCATATAATATTGTAAATGTATCTATACATAAGGAAAGATCCTCACTTGATTATACCAGAATACTTAGCTTGATGGAGTTCAATTTCTACCACACATGATCAACGTCACTTTTCGACGTGACTGATTTTTGACACCCTCACTACATTGACTTTAACTGTGCATCTTTCATCTCTCTGAATCTTTTTGGCTATTTAAAACGAGTACTCTGGATGTGTTTTATTTTTTCTGTAGCCCGTTTAAACATTCCCTAGGTCTATACCAGTTTTTCCAGGTGCGAAACTTTAAAGAATGTTGGAAACAGTAACCCCTCCTCCTTTTTGACGTCATTTTTGAACCCTTAATTGTTTGTACACTCCATATAAATTTACGATAAAATTTCATAGAATTTACAGAATGGGGTAAAAATTGCAAATTTTACGGAACAATTGTGTTGTAGCACATGCCTGGATTAACCGGAGTTTTTGACGACAAATACTCATATCAAAAGAGTTTTTCTCAGTTACACTCAGGTAGAAAAAACGTCATATTTGAGGTTGCGCCGCTTGGACATACCATTGCTTACAAAAACAATAACAATTTATTAAAAAAAATAAAACTTATGATTTATGGTTTATTCTATCGATAGAAAAGATGATGCTAACTAAATGTATTAAAATTCATTGATGTACCTAAAGCGGTTTTAATTTTATGGCGCTAGTCCACGAACTTTTTGATAACCCCTCGTATATATATATATGAATTTTAAGTTTTACTTAAAAAAATTTTATGTACATTGGAATGCTCTGCGTATAATTAGAGTTATCGCGCTTGCATTATCCTTGGAAGTTTTTGGCGTGTCCAAATTAGGAGAGGCACATGCAAGTGATTCTTGGAAATGAAAACATTTAGTAAATGCCCAATGAAAATCATGCGCGGTAAAAATCTGGACCCGGTCGTCCAGATAGCGTCGTTTTTCAGTTTCTTTTAGGACGCCGTGAAAAGTACATGTGTGTTGGGTAGCTTCAAATTATTTTAAGCGGTAAGGTAACACTTTCGTTTTTTCCTCATACAATTTAATTGTTTTATTTGTCTAACAATCTTTCAAAGATTAAGTACGTAATATTTTGCTATGTTACCATGGTTACTGATATTAATAATTGCTATCCAATGCCATTGTTATTTTGTATACTATTTGCATGCGGGGACAACTCGATGCTGTAGAATATTTAAAAAAAAAAAGACCGATAATCGCCATTATAGTAGCGATGGGAAGTCTGACTGTAGGAAACGTTAATATTATGTTTTCATTCTTAAATGATTATAACAATATTGATAATTTATTTTGCTTTCACGAACAATGACTTAGTTAAATTTAATTTGGTAATAAAGAATTTCTATTAGACGGCGTCTGTTTTCGATAATCTATGTTGAAGCCTTTGTGGCCACGTATGTTTTATATGTGTAGGTCAACATGACCTCACTGCTGTAACTGCGGAAGTGATGAATCATTTTGGACAGCTGAAGCCATTCCTATGCTATTTAAAGTGTACAAGGTTTCAACTTTTGTCCGATATAGATTAGAAATGCAAAATGCAGAAATAATAATGATTTATTTAAAAAAAAAAACAAAACAAAAAACAAAAAACAACATGTATAGATATATATATATTTATAAATTTACATACCAGTTAATATGTATACTAGACGTACATGTATAAATATGTATAAAAAAAAAGCTATGAAATTTTTGTTTGATACGATGATCCAGTTCTGAAATTGATGATAACTTTGCTTGTTTCTGATAATCAAGATTCTCTCATTTCCGTGTAGAAATGTGTTCTTATTCAATTTACTTATTCAATTAATAAATTAATTTGTTTGCTTATTTAGTAAGTTATTGATTGATCTATTCAAATTTATTATTTATTTATTTTTTATTTCTTACTTATTTTACCTCATTTGCATCAACACAAGTTTTTTGTGTTTCCCGAGGACAATACTGTATTAAAACTCCCCTTCGAGGTTTTCCTCAGAAGGATCAATACAAGTTGTTTGTGTTTCCTGAGGACAATATTACAAATTCCTCTGTTGAGGTTTTCCTCATTGGGATCAACACAAGTTGTTTGTGATTCCTGAGGACAATATTACAAACTCCTCTATTGAGGTTTTCCTCATTGGGATCAACACAAGTGGTTTGTGTTTCCCGAGGACAATATTGATTAAAACTCCACTCTCGAGGTTTTCCTCATAAGGATCAACACAAGTTGTTTGTGTTTCCTGAGGACAATATTACAAACTCTTCTACTGAGGTTTTCCTCATAAGGATCAACACAAGTTGTTTGTGTTTCCTGAGGACAATATTACAAACTCCTCTATTGAGGTTTTCCTCATTGGGATCAACAAAAGTTGTTTGTGTTTCCTGAGGACAATATTGTGTTAAAACTCCTCTAACGAGGTTTTCCTCATAAGGATCAACACAAGTTGTTTGTGTTTCCTGAGGACAAGATATTAAACATTCTATGGTGAGATTTTACTCTCGGAAATCAAGAGGGTAACTGCCTTATTCGGAAATGTTTAGTATTTGACAAAATTTAAAAAAAAATACGGATTTAAGGTAATGTATTTATCTATTTGTTGTTGTTTACATGACAAATCTAGAAAATATAGATCTCATCATATCTCTTACTTTTTATTGACAAAAAGTAATTCTTTTTACAGCATCACTAAAGAATTAGAAGTATATATTTTCAGTATATATACAATGTTTCCAAAGAGATAGTCAAGTAGGGCACGAGCGGTTCCACCCACTACTTCCCGACAAGGAAAGAAAAGACGGTTGGTAGCAGACCAAATCTCGGTACCTGATGATGTGGTGGAAGAAATCATCAAAACTGTCACTGATAGGGTTACGGCTTCAATAACAACACTTATTAATGAAGTTGTCAACACTAGATCATCGAATTTGAATAATCAGGGGAGTATAGACAATAGTAATGTGCAAGCATCTCCACAGATTGCCATCTCAGATAATAGTGTCACTGTAAATTCTCAGTCTAGTGTATTGCCCGAGGCCACTGAGTCAAATAAAGGTAGGGGACAAACAGGATTTGTCAGCACAGCAGTGCCAATAGAAGCCCTTGTGTCTGACCAAATCAAGGCTAAGATATGGTCTAATCAGTGCATTGATTTTGTTAAACCTTTATCAATGGAAAAACAGAAGAAGGGTAAGTTCTCTTTGCAAGTAGAAAATAGTGATACTCAGGGGAAGTTAACCATTCACCAGGTTGAGAACGATGCCGAAAACAAGTCAAATGTTTCCTCTATGCATGACTGGATTACAGCTTGGAACAGGTATGCAGCAATATATTGTATAAAATATCCTGAACAGCAGTCAAAATTAGCCAAGCATTTAGAGGCAGTGAGAGATATTGCTGATGCCAAAGGTAATTGGAAAAATTACGATGCAGAATTTAGACAGCTTGTATCTCAAGGACAAGTTGCATGGGGTGATGTTCACATGGAATTGTATGTAAATGCTAGACTCAAAACTGATCTATTGACAAAAGTAAGTAGTAAAAATAAAGACGCACCGTCAAGGCCCATCCCAAAAGGGGCTTGTTTCAATTATCATGCAGGTAAGCAGTGTCGTGCAGGTCTATCCTGTCTTTTCCAACATATGTGTTACAACTGTGGCAGCAACCACCCATTTAGCCACTGTAACAGACAAACACAGCAGCCCTTTCGTTTCCTTAGAAAATTCTACACCCAAACAAATAAAAATAACAAAGAATTTACCAACCCTTCCAAACAAAGGAATGACACCAGCAAAAGTAAGTAGATTGGCAAAATGGTTAGCTGGATATGATGAAGATGAATCCAAATATCTAATGAATGGTTTCTCTAATGGGTTTTCGTTGGGTTTTGTGGGTGAATGCCCTGGTATTGAATCAAAGAATTTAAATTCTTCTTTCCAAAACCCATAGGTTATATCTAGTAAGATACAAAAGGAAATTTTGGCTGGGAGGATTTACGGACCTTTTGAAATCAAACCAATACCTGATTTACAATGCTCTCCATTAGGCTTAGTTAAAAAAAAGAACCTGGGGAATAGAGAATGATTCATCATCTATCATATCCAGAAAACAAGTCCATCAATGAGGGGATTCCACCGGATGAGTCATTTGTTCAATACTCATCGGTTTCAGATGCTATCCAATTAATAAAAAATTGTGGAAAAGGTGCATACTGCTGCAAGACAGATATAAAATCGGCTTTTAGAATTACCAACATGCATCAATCACAATTTAAGTATTTAGGTTTCAAGTGGAATAACAAATATTATGTGGACTCCTGCTTGCAATTTGGTCTTAGTTCTTCTTGTAGAATTTTTGAAAGATTTTCAACAGCATTACAATGGATAGCTCAGAATAAACTGAAAATATCTTGCATATCCCATGTTTTAGACGATTTTATAATCATTAATAAATCAACTACTGAATGTGTTAAACAGTTGAAGGCATTCCTCGATATGTTGATGGATATAGGGGTCCCAATATCACTTGAAAAAACATGTGGACCCAGCCAGATCATAACTTACTTGGGATATGAATTGGATTCAGTTAAAATGGAATCTAGGCTTCCAGATGATAAGATCCTTAAGTGTGCTACGAAAATTGAATCAAGTTTACAACAACAAAAATTGACACTCAAGGAATTTCAGTCACTGATAGGTTTATTGAATTTTGCATGTAATGTAGTATTGTCCGGTAGGTCTTTTCTTCGGAGACTGATAGACTTGACTATTGGAATTAAAAAAACAATACTATAAAATTAGAATGACAAAGGAAGTAAAAGAAGATCTAAATGTTTGGCTGAGTTTTCTTTCAAATTACAATGGATCTACCATGTTTTTGCCTGATAGGTGGTTAAATTCTACTGAAATAAAGTTGTATACTGATGCATCAGGGTCTATTGTATATTCTGCAGTGCTTGGTAGTCAGTGGTTTCACGGAAATTGGGATATTAATTGGAGATACCAGAATATTGCTATTTTGGAATTTTATCCTATAGTACTTGCGGTGCAAACATGGTCAAAATACCTTGCTAATAAATGTATTTTGTTTAACACTGACAATCATGCACTGGTTCATGTGATCAATAAGCAAACAGCTAAGGTTAAACACATAATGTTTTTGTTGAGGAAACTGGTGCTAACCTGTCTAGAATTTAATATTTATTTTAGAGCAATACATTTGTCAAGCAAAGAAAATTTGCTATGTGACTTTCTCGTTCCAAGGTACAGCAATTCTTGGAACTGGCTACTTGGGCAGACAGACATCCAGTAGAGATACCTCCTCTTCCGCCTTTTCCATCTTGATTGGCGTTAAGGGAAAATTACCAACCCTGGACATTTCAATGGCGATAACCTTTTAATTTCTGATGCATACAACATTTGGTGACAAGTTTGAACAGCAACTGTTTTGAAAAATATATATTTATATAATGATATATTAAATGAAAACACTTCATTATGCGTGCATAGCAGTGTGACAAACGTTCAACCTAGGCAAGAACACGTGTTTATATGATGTCGTCGGACATAATTTACCAAAGTTAATATCAGTGTCTGTGAATAAACTTTTCGTGGCATGTTCAGTCAAGGGCATATGTTTATCCCTGATTGGGATTTAATAAGCAGTTCACTTTTGGCATATCTATTCCCTAGGTAGCAGTAGTTCTACTAACAAACTGACATGAGTAGACTTACTTTTATGAATGACAAGCAGGGCATATGTTTATCTCTGACTTGGAATTTTTCATCTGGTTGTACATTTATGGCTCTTGGTTTCATTGGGTACATAGTAGGACATATGTTTATTCCTATTGATTCATATGTGTGGAACGTACAAACTTTTCAAAAGGACAAGCAGGGCATATGTTTATCTCTGCTGACTTAAAATTACTTTTTATTTTGACAGGTATTACTGCACTTTGCCCCTTTTTCGATTTCCTTTTTCTTGGGGTCTGAACTTGCTTAAATTTAATTTAAAGTATAAATTTAATCAAGTACATGGCGGTTTCAGACCACAAGAAGGTTTTATATATTATGTAATCAATTACGCCACATATTAGGTAATCACTGTTTACATATCAATCATATTCATAATTCGACTTCATTCTGTTGTGAATTTTTGATACAGATAATAAGAAGTTAATTAATAATTTTATGGATTTCTTGACCAATTATTACATAATTAATTACAAGTAATTTCTATAATGAAAGTCACATTAGTGGCAAAGTGCAATATACCGAAGTGTTTTGCTGTTTATGAAAATGGTGAGTGAAGGCGGTTTCTCAAAATTCTGCAATAGTACAATAACTGTGAGTTGGGTTCATGACAGTACACGGAAATGTTAAAGAATGAGAAGTTCCACAGATTAGTTATTTTATCAAACTGAATTTGCATTGGCAATTGCACACATATATATATATATATATATATATATATATATATATATATATATATATATATATATATATATATATATATATATATATATATATATATATATACTTAGTGGTAGCATTAATAAACGTAACGTCTTTACCTTATATATATTTATCTTCTTTTATACCGGTCTTTAGTAAAAGCAAGGAAACAAATAGAAAACAACCGTAGCTTTATTTTACAAATGCACGACATGTTTATCTTTTGAATAAAATTTGTTCACTCGAATCTCATTCCAGCAAAGTAAAATATTTTTGTTCAAAAAAATGTGCCGCAATATCTGACAGTCTTGCGTGTTTGTTACTATTATTCAATATTACGCGTCCGCATGCCGCAATGGTTAAAGCGTTTGCTCTAGAGTCGAGGAGTAAGGAGGTGATCCTTACGTCATGTGTTTGAATCCACCGTGTGACACGGAGACATGTCGTACGGATAAACCGAGTTCCCGTTTCGCACTACGTACTGGCAAGAAAAAGATCCCTCACGGCACAAAGGCCGTAATTGCCGAGTTCTAAATTTCAAAAATATCTTTGATGACAATTGCAAATATACAAAAAGATTTTTTCTAAACAAGATTCGTTTCCTATCTATTTCACGCTATAAAATTTCTATCTATAAAGTTATAGAGTACAGTTTTATATACTGTTAAAAAATGCAAAATAAGAATAATCCGCCGTAAAATATAGAGTAGATTTTCCGTGCAATTGTTTTTAAATGATTATGATTCATTCGAGTAAAATACATCAATTTTATCGCTATTGTTAAAAAGACAACCAGTCTACAAAACTTACAAACAGAAATACCTAATTTTGCAGAATGCTAAAAATTTATTTTTTGAACACTTTTTCTTTCGTTGCTTTTCGATTTACATCATTCAGGTACAAAATGTCTAACAAAATCTGAGGATTTCGAATTTTGATATTTTTGAAAAATGACGCTATTTACAAATGCTCAATCTATATACACAAATAGAAATCTGGCGACTGAAAGGAAGTGTGTGACAGTTTTCGATAGCAAGAAGTTTTAATGTTATACAAAGCACCATATTGTACCTTTTAAACAGATACCAAAATCATGGTACAACAAATGGTCGTCAAAAATATAGAACGTGATAACAGCAGCGTAGGGTCGCTTCATTGGTTCGCATCATCTTCATCAAAGTTGTACAGCATTATCTATCTCTAGTATCTTTAGTATCAAACAACGCCGTTTGTAATTGACCACGGGATGCCGGAATAAGAGCCATAGAACTTATTTGTGTCATTGTTCTGACCTTACAAACCGCTTATATTGACTTCAAGGTTTAAGACCAACAGAATATGGTCACAGCAACACTGCACACATGTAACAGTAAAGTTTAACTAAGAGTCCAGATTATTTTCTTCAAAGCCTGATGTAATTGTCAGAGTGCGTAAGCTTCTGATGAACCTTTCTGCAAAAAAAACCTACGGGGGCTTGACAGAGCTTGATAGATTCGGTGTCGGTAGTCTTATGATATGAGCGACGGTACTGTATACAAGCAGGATTGAATTACTTCACATTCAGAGGATTTTGACAGCACAACGGTACTCTGACGATGTCCTAACTGAACATATCTTTCCAATAATACAGATCCTTGAGCCATATTTCAATCTGACAATACAAAGCCACATACAATACCGACCAAACATAACCTTACTGAAAGTGAACTCTAACAGTTCCCTGGGATTGCTTTCCAGGGTCCGCTAGAGCTGATAGAGCTGACCCAGGGCGAACCCAGAGCGCAACAAAAGCGCACCCCTTGCGGACAAAAAGCGAACCTCAAAAGCGAATCCCAATTTCCGAAGCTCACCCAGAAAGCGATCCCGGCATTCGCTATTACGTTACAGAGCTGTCAATCAGGATTACACGTTGACCAATCAGCGCGTCGGTCAATCAGCATGCCGGTTGGCATTTCGATGTTAATCAAAACACTGTGCACGTACAGTATAAGCAATCCGTATGTATGTACAATTAAGATTTAGTTTTATTTTTGTACTTAATACAGTACCGACCAGACACAACCTAACAGAAAGCGAACCCAGAGCGCACCTCAGGTTCGCTCTCTGGGTTCGCTTCGGGTTCGCTTGGGGTCCGCTAGTGCTGACCCCGAGCGAACCCGGAGCGCACCCGTAGCGAACCCAGAGCGGACCCAGAGCGAACGCTGAAAGCGAACCCCAAATTCAGTAGCGGTCCCAGAAAGCGAACGCGCGTTCGGTATTGCGTAACAGAGCTGTCAATCAGGATTAGCGATTAACTCATCAGCGCTTCGACCAATCAACATACCGAACAGGTCTGTCAATCAGGATAAGTGATAAAATGCGTTGACCATCAGCGCATCGACCAGTCAACATGCCAGTTTATAATCTTAACATTGTACAAGCAAAGCTTGTGAATGTACAGTCTAAAAATATCATATGATTTTTAAACATGATTTTATATTTATATATTTTAATTCTAAAGACAACATGCAATATTTACACATCTATTTTCATTATTTTTTATTTTTAAAATCTATTGATACATAGTTCAATATTTATTTTCTTTATGTTATTAAAATCCATTAATATATAAATATATATTGCCTAAATTTATCACACAATAAGTACTTTCATTTATAATAGAAAAAAAGAGGATAATAATGGTTATAACATATGTTACTAAAAAAAGAAAAAAAGAAAAAAAAATGGTCTTCATAAATTATAGAATTTTATTATCTCAAGATACAGTATACGAACATTAATATAAGAACAGTTAGTATAAGAACATGTGCGTGCTTTAATTTAATTATTTTTTTTTATTAATTATTTCAATTTACATGCACGTTTTAATTTATCCAGCTCAACTTCGAAATTATCGATCTTAATAATTGATCATGAAAAAAAATTAAATGTACATTGTACAGAATAAATGTGCATTATGTCAAAACGTAAATTGGAGGAAAAAAATCTCATTTAACTACTATGATATATTCTTTTTTAATTAATCTTTTACCAAAATTTAATAAATAGCTTGATTTAAATACTTGTATATAGGGAAAGATTATTTTGTCAATTTTAATTATCCTACATGTAGACCTTACATTGTATGTTTTTGAATTTTTGTAACTACTTGCAAGTCAGTCAAAAAAAAAAAAAAAAAAACAAAACAAAACAAAACAAAACAAACAAAAAAAATGTTTATCACTTTCCTTCGCGTCGATATAATTATATAATTATACAGGTTTACATGTTCACGAACCTCTTACATGTACTACATGTAATTTTCGAAATACTTTATATGAACATAAAAAAAATATACTAGACGGGTACGTTTTGTACTTGTGCATGAAAAGTACACGTAATTCCAACATTAGTAAATTGAACTTGCAAAGATACCTTAATACGAAAACGTACATATATTTTTTCATTACATAGGTTTCGCCATGCGCTCGGCACTTTGAAGTGAAAGTTGCGGGTCCTTCGGATGAGACCTTAAAAACCGAGGTCCCGTGTCACGGCAGGCGTTGGCACGATAAAGATCCCTCACTGCTCAATGGCCCTGAGTGCCGAGTAAAGGTCAAAATTTGAAGCCCTTCACCGGTATATGGTGACGTCTCTATATGAGTGAAAAATTCTCGAATGGGACGTAAAACAATATACAATCAATCAATCAATCATTACATAGGTACCTGTATTTGAACTTTGTAATTGTCATAATTATTTAATTTCAACACTTTAATAATTGTAGTTTCAAAGTGAAGCTTAAGTTGCATGTACCTCGTCTGGGCACGTTATCAATGAGAAATACAATTATTCTTTTTTTTTTTTTTTTGATTTTTGAATTTGGAAACGTCATAGTTCTTTGGTACGTTGCATTAAGAGTACATGTTCATGCATGTAATTTGCTGCAACCTGAATGCTGAAAATCAGTAAAATACATGTAGCTTTACGAGAGACAGAGAGACAGA